TATTTTTTTCATAGACACTGTTTCAAATAAATACTAGTCTAACAATATGCCGCTCAATCGCCCAATAATTAAGTACAATTTAGGGAAACAACAATATGTAATATTACCCAGCGAATAAAAGCGTACCAAAGAATCTATTCACTAAAAAATCAAAAACAACGCATTCATGAATCCTATGAACCAATCAGTGGCTTTTATTCAACATCCCTATTTTATTTAACTCTAACATATTATAATATATTAAACATAATTAACAAAATGAAATTATTAAAATATAATGTATTATGATGTATTAAAAATAAAAATCATCATCATCATATCGTTTTAAATATAATACTTGATGATGTATTGAACATAATCAAAAAAGAAAGATAATATGTTTTAACTTCAATGCTTTACAATATATTGAATATATTCAACATCATAATTTTGTTTAATTGTACTGCATTATAGCGTATCAAATATAATCAACATGAATATATGCTTTTGAACGAGAATACATTATAATACATCTGAACATAATGGACATTATCATATTTTTTTAAATTTAATATATTATAATAAATTGAGCATAATGAATAAAATCATATTGTCGTAACTCTAATATATTATAATATATTTAATATAACCAACAATATCATATTGCTTGAGTGTAATATGTTATAATAGATTGAACATAATCAACATGATCATATTGTTTTAGTTGTTCTATATTAGAGTACATTGAATATATTTGGTATCATTATTTTATTAAATTGTAACGCATCAGAATACATAGAATATAATCAACATCACTATTTTCATTTAATTTAACACATCATAGTGCGTTAAAAATAAGGAATGTCATCATATCGTCTTACTGTTATGCATTATAATACATTGAGAATATTGAACATTACTGAGTTCGTATAGCTATAATGTATTTTAATGTATTTTAATGCATTAAAAATAATGAATGGCATGAGGGCGTTTTATTCTGATGGATTATAATACATTAAAAATAGTCGACATCATAACATTGTTAAGGTGTAATGTATTTGAATATGCTCAGCATCATCACATTATAAAATAATAGTGTATTTGAAAAAGTATCAATGAATATCATAATATACTTCGATAATAATGCATTGTAATGTATTAAAAAGCAATGATAAGGAAATAAGAAAAAGTAAGAATTGAGAAAAAAATGATTTATTATTTAGCATATGAAATAAATCAAATAGTTTTTCATTCACAAGTATTGTCTATAGAAATATGAGGAAACAGCAGTATTGAAAAGAATGTATTTTCAAAACTTTCAAAAAATAAAATCAATCAACTAGTTAATATTCAAACATGCTTCAATAATAATAAATTAAAACTTATTGAAACAAATTCTTCATCAGTATTCGAACATTATTCAAACATAAAATGAAATATTAGAAGTCATTACAATATATCTCCTAGAAGGACTTTCGAATATCATTCAATAATAATCCATTCTAATGCATTATGACATGATAAAAACTGAACAATATAACATATATATATCATTTAAAAATAATGCATTTTAATGCATTGAAAATTGATTCACTGGTGAATATCACGATCTCATTTGATTTTAATGCATTATAATGCGTTGAGAATTCCTTAATTCACGAATATTAGAATATTATTCAATACGAATGCGTTAAAATATAACTCAATACCGGATATCATAATATCTTTACTGATAATGTATTAAAATATAGCTGATAGAAAAAATTACAATATCTTTCAATAACAATGCATTACAATGCATTAAAATCTCATCAATAGTGGATAACAGAATATTATCTAGTAGTAATGCATTATAATGCATTAAAATATAACTTGTAATCTGGATCAGAATATGGTTGCATATTAATGTATTATAGTAGACTGGCAACTAAACCATTAGAAACCCAAGAGAAAAATAACGGTGAAGAAAGAAAAATATTATTTTTATTGTGAGATCTATCGATTTATTTGTTTCGAAAAAAGTAAACAAGACATGTATGAACACGAGAGGGCTATACGAATTAGGAACAAATGTATATTTGTTATAAGTTTAGAAATTACTACAAAAGAAGTACTACAATATATATACTTTCTATTAATTAAGAGATGATCAATTATGTTTGCTTTAATGAAATGATGATCAATTATATCTATTTTAGTAGAATAATGAGCAGATTATTTCAATCAACTATATAAGGCTATGCTATCATATTCATATTTTTCTTATTTACTCGCTTGAAAAGAAAAAATTCGAAAGGCCTCGCGTTATCCTCATACTCTATTTAACTATTTATTTTTCTCCTTGTCTTTTCTCTTTTTTCTCCTTTTTTTTTCTTTCTTATTATCTTTCTCTTTTCTTAAAAATAATAAAATTAGTTTATAAAAAAATTAAAAAACAAAAAAAAAACAAATTCTATTAATATTTATTATATTTATCGTTATTGTCTTCTTTATTATACATTAACAAAATATATAATTATCCTAAAATTAAAAATTTGTGTTGACTTGTCAAAATAAAAAGAATTGTTATATATATATATTTGTCGAACCATAATCTGCTCATACGTTCGCTCAAAGAGTCAACATGAATTTACAATTTAATATTTCAAATGATAATAATAATCGTCGTACTCATATGTCTGCAAATCGTCCACCTCCACAAATCATCCCATCATATATTCATTTACGTCCACATATTAATAAAAAAAACGAATTTTTATAATGCAGGACAACGAAAAAATTCCCATCCTTATCGAAAATTTCAAACTGGCTCAACTACTACTTTTTCCGGTTATACCAATATATCCAACTATAATCATAATACAATTGCTACTGCTAGTAATAATAATAATAACAATAATTATCATCAACAAAAACAATATTATAACAATAATAATATTACTCATTTAAAAGCTTCAGATAGTAAGAAAATACCTTGCCTTATGTCTGTTGATCTTTTTCAACAACCACCAAGAAAAAATCGTCGCAAAATACAACATGCTGAACAATATAAACAACAAACATTATTAGATCAACACGAAATAACGAATACAAACCAATATAGAACATCAACGTCAACATTAAAAAAGTTAAACGGTTTAATTTTATCGGATTCAATGTGTAAGTATGTGCGACCAGAGAAACTAAGTTTCGATGATGTACAGGTAAAAATATCTTTTGAATCCGGCTGTGATTGCAGCAAAATGTTAACATTTTTAGAAAAACAAAACATTGATCGAAGTAGTATATTCCAAGCTGATTTTGTTCTTTTCTCTCTATGTACAAATGATGTTGCTAATTTAGGTCCTGAACTTGCTATAAAAAATTGTCGTATTTTGATAGAACGTGTACGACAATTATTTCCTCATTTGAAATCAATTGGATGGCTAGCACTTTCACCACGATCAAAACCATCTAAATTATTCAATTCTATAACTATTAACGAGAATTATCAGGAATTTAATCAATATCTTAATAAATTATCAAAGGAAATGAATTTCAAAGTAATCGATGCTAATCTTCAACATCAACACATGCATCACGACGGCTTACATCCGTCAATACAGTCTGGGCGTGTTCTGATCGAAAAAGCACTTTATAATTGGTTTGTAAAAGAGACGAAACATTTTTCTATTACATCGTATCATCAACCTACTATTATTGCTAACCATCATCATCATAATTATACTACAATTGCTCATAATAATAATAATAAAAATACTAATAATTCTCATCATCATAACTCTACTACTACTACTACTAATAATAATAATAACAATCGTGCTTTAATAATAATAGGAATTCTTACAATAAGAACAATACATTAAAAAAAGAAAATTTACATAACTTACCAAGTAAGTCATTAGTTCCACATTATCCACATTTCTTACGACATAAAGATGAATTCTTTCGAAAAATTACAGTACCAACAGAATTAGAAGACAAAAAAGATGATATTTTTCTGCTAAGTAACATCCATTTTCAAACAGAATATTTTCAATCAGAAGCAGAAAAATGGAAAATATACATGACAGCTGCAGCAAATAAGCAAACAGTCGAGCAAATAGAACCAATGGAAACTATAATAGAAGAAAATAATAATAACGAATTGCCTATTGCCAGACCATCACCTACAGGTCTAGCAAGACCTCCAACTACTTTAGACTTTAGTGATTTTCCTGAAATTTTTGATGAATGGTTGCCAGAACCAATTCCAGGACAAAAACGAAAACTAGGACATCGACGTGATGATCCACCAACACCACCATCTCCTAGACAACCACCAACACCACCATCTCCTAGACAACCACCAACACCACCATCTCCTAGACAACCACCAACACCACCATCTCCTAGACAACCACCAACACCACCATCTCCTAGACAACCACCACCACCTCCGATCATTCCAAGAAAAACATTACCACCACGTAATCCCAGTATTCCACTAGTTAGAAGATCACTCTGTTCATCACCACTAGTAGATACAATAAATGATCATAAACAAAGACAATATTCTTTCAATGCACTTCTTCCTGATGAGAAATCAAATGTAAAAGAACAACAGCATATACAAACACCTAACGTAGTAGTACCACCACTAATAAATGTACATTCGATGATAATATCTCCTTTACAAAGTTCGACACCAGAAATATTAATAAAATCACCATCAGTCATACCAAAGAATAATATAACATCAAATAGGTCATATAACTTTTCAATTATTCCTATCGAATGCAGATATTACTTTAAACAAATAAGACAAAAAAGTACATTTGAATCGATAAGAACTCATCAAAATTTTCTTCAGACCAAATACGAAACATTAGAAAATGAGAGAGAGAAAAAATTACATTCATCATTTGACAAACATGTGGCCACAAGTAGTTAATTTCGTAAAAAGTATTCTTGAAAAAACACTTGAAAATAAAAAGAAAGATGACCAAAGAAGACTAGACAATCTTATACTAGATCAAAAAAGAGAAGAAGCTAGATTAAGAATGAAAGAAATAGCATCACAATCAGAACAACAATCCATACAATATTTACAAGAAAAATTCAAGAGAACATTAGATCTTAAATTGCAATTGGATAAATTAGAAATAAGATTTGTAGAAAATATGCCACCACCATCTCTCAATATATTTGATAAAATAGAACTGCATGCAAAAGAACTTAAGTCAGATAACACAGAATTATGTTCTCTTCGAGAACAATGGAAAAATATTCTACGAAAAACAAAACTAGATCTGACAATGTTAATGAGACGAGCAAAAATAGTTGAAATAGAAGAAGCGAAAACAGAATACAACGAATTGTTAAACAAACTTTCAAATCATTTTCGGCAACCTCATGAAGCCATATGTGAAGTAATACGAAAGAGACATGAACAATCTACCAAAAAGAAATTGAATTTTTTAGCAAAAAGGGCGTGCATAATCAACGAAAGCTAATGCACGCCCTATCACATCATCACCCGAAATATCAAAAAGCAAAATTGCATCCACACTATAGTCGAATTAGTTTTCCGCCTCAGGCAAACAATAAAGCTTACATACTACAAGATACAGAAGCTAGAATACTTAACTTAGGACCAAAATTTGTCCCTCCAGCACCTGAACAAGTACTACAACGGCTCCCAAAAGAAATCGAACAGATGAAAGAGAAAGTTTCAGCAGCTTGGAGAAGAGCGACCAAAACTATAGGACGAGACCCGCCGACAGTAATGAAATTTTGTGAACGAGTAGAAGATGAAATAAAGAAAACAGTAGCAACTGAAGCACCAAGAGACCCTACGTTAAAGTCGGCAATAACATTCTTCCGTAAGATTCAAAAAAAGAACGATATTATATTTAGACAAACAGCCAAATCGAAAGTATTTCATACTGATACGAGAGAAAATTATATTAAAAAATCAGAAATATACATGGAAAAAACAAATGCATATATAGAGATACAATCATCACCACTAAGAGAAATGATAGAAAAAACAGATAAATTTCTACAAGCACTATTAAATAAGTTAAGACCTTCTCTAAAAGAATCAGAATTACCTCACCTCTATTACAATCCAAAAGACCATAAAATAGGCGAGCCACTCAGACCTATTGTAAGAGGAATGAAAGCACCCC